CTAGTACACCTGCCTACATAAGCAGCACTAGTACTCATACCTACATAAGCAGCACTAGTACACCTGCCTACATAAGCAGCACTAGTACACCTGCCTACATAAGCAGCACTAGTACACCTGCCTACATAAGCAGCACTAGTACACCTGCCTACATAAGCAGCACTAGTACACCTGCCTACATAAGCAGCACTAGTACTCATACCTACATAAGCAGCACTAGTACTCCTGCCTACATAAGCAGCACTAGTACTCCTGCCTACATAAGCAGCACTAGTACACCTGCCTACATAAGCAGCACTAGTACACCTGCCTACATAAGCAGCACTAGTACACCTGCCTACATAAGCAGCACTAGTACACCTGCCTACATAAGCAGCACTAGTACACGTGCCTACATTAGCATTATTAGTACACCTGCCTACATAAGCAGCACTAGTACACCTGCCTACATTAGTACTTTGCGACATTAAGTTGGAAAAGTTAAATTCTAACCTTAAAAGTATATTTTCGAGCTAGCAACATTGTTTTTAACTTGTCCTATTACTTCTGAAAAGAAGGCAGTGTCAATAGGGCAGTTTTTGCTGAAGAACCAACCCGGAAAGTTTGTTTATTTTTTATGAATGTTTAATGTGTTTTTTTATGCTAGCAGGCATTAAAACGCTTTTATTTATTACATTTTTGTTCTTTTATATTTTATTTTCTAACCAATATGCTCGATTTTCTTTTGCATTTCTTGACCCAATAGTGATCAGAGAATCGGCCATTTACCCTGGCCCCAAAATGACTAAGTTCTGTTACTGAACTTTTTTTGAAATTTTGAACTTTTAATTTTAGTTATTACTTACTGCAATTTGGTCTAATTAGACATCAATTTTGGTTTACATTGTTCTGTTCCTGTTTTTCAGTTTTACTAGTTTTTAATTTATTTCAACCGTAAGAAACAGTGAGGCAGTATTGATGGCCTATGTAAGATATATTGATAAAGGTGAATTTACAGTAGAGATGTTGTTTTGTATAACTTTGGAAACACTGCTACTGCAAATGATATATACTATAAACCAATATTTAGATAAAGCTAGATTACCAATGAATAAAATCACATCATGTGCTGCGGATAGTGCTCCTGTTATGATGGGCAAGAAAGGTGGTTGTTTAAAATTGTTGCAGGATGATAATCATGAACTGATTTTTGTGCACGGTGTTAGTCATAAAGAAAATTTAGTTTCTAAAAAACTTTTAACTGTTTTAAATGAGATTTTGAATTCAGTTATCCAATGTATTAACAGCATCAAAACTAATGCCAAACCTGAGAGTCTTTTAAAACAATCTTAACAATCTTAAGAGGATAAAACTGGTGACAACATAAGATTATTGCTACCCACTGAGGTGAGATGGCTCTCACAAGAAAATTGTTTCATAAGATTCCTGGAACTCATTCTTAGTGAGATTTTACAAGAAAAGCCTGAAATGAAACTCCTACAGACAGTTGCTGGTAAAGCATTTGTGAGATATTTAGCACATATCTCTGAAAAATTTAATATTAAATAAACAAGTGCAAGGAGAATAGGAGATTGAATCAACCCTTGTTGATACAATCGCTAAGATATTTGGCTTCATTGAATTTCTGCAATTATGCCAAAACAAAAGTATCTACAACAAATTAACAGTTTTGTTGGCTAAATAAGGGTGAAGTTACTTGTGCTGCAGTAAATGCTAGTGCAGATCACCTGAGCAAAATGGTCTGTGATTTGAATGAAAGATTTTCCGATTTGAAATATATTTGTTTTCCACTTTATATAATTCAGCCAGCACTAATAGATTTAAGTGTGGTGGCTTTGCAATACCAAGAAGAATTAACGGACTTGCAAAACGATGACTCAATTAACGTTATTTAAATATAAATAGGAATGAATCTCTGCGATGAAACATAGACAAAATATTCAAGCAGAAATAATTATCAAATTTTTTTTTGTTGCAATTCCCGATTTCATATTTAGTTGAATGTGGATTTTGTGCTGTAAGTGACTTATTGTTAAAAAAATCCCCTGGATATCACAAACCGTGATGATTTTATATTAAAATTTTAATAGTTAATTTTATGTTTTGGAAGCTCCAAGCTCGATGCCACAGTATAATTTGTCATTAATTCTGTCAGAAATTTATTTTATCTATTGTCATGTTTTGTTGTTGTATTGTCATTTATTATTGTTATTTTTCATCAGTTATTGCAGTTCAAGTATTATTTTTTAATTGTAGTTTAAATAATACATTTTATTGCATTTTTTTGGTGCATTTGAATTTCAAGATTTAAATAGACCGCGAAACTGAAACTCGATTCTCCTGACATCATTGTAACCTTATGTTTCCCGCTTCTCGGCCAAGGGGGAAGGGAAGGTAACTATGAGTAGAAAGCGTAAAGTTATTTTGCCTATATAGCCTAGGAAGGCTGGGAAGATTCCTTAAACCGTTTTAGGTGCTCAGGAGAGCGGGAGTCAGAAAAGGGTGGGAAGCCCTGGGTTATAGTGACTGCGAAGCACAGTTGTTTAAACCTGTCCAATCACCAGGGTTTATATACACTGATAAGTGTAGCCCAGATCTCTCCCACTGAGAGTTTAAAGGGATCCTTAACTATCTTCATGGTTAAGTATACTCGCCTGTTGGTCGTAAGCAATGGTGGAGGACTTGATAACCTGGCCGCGACTGATAACCCTTAAATCCAACACCAAACCATTCCAATGAGCAAGTATGGTGAGACTATTAGAGTGACCGGAGGGACTCGCTGCAGTGACCGAGGCTCTGAACCGGGTCCCTCCGGTCACTGCACCGCGTCCACCTACTGACACGAACATCAGTATTACATGCTGGGTGGAAATTAGACAGCTTGTCATGAGTGTCGAGTCCGTCGGGTCTCGGTATGTTTCGCATTTATTGAGAAAATATCTTAAAAATGAGTGCCAAAAAAAAACAAAGTTGGTTATCTGACAACCATTAGTTCTCCAAAAATTCAGATGGATATCCGTTCATCAAATAAGCTACTACGTCAAAGATCATGAACGTTTCAACTTCCATAATTTTTCGTGTACTCGACCAGTCCCTCTATACATAACAGTATAAATTGTGCAGAAAATTCTGAATGTATTGAGTGCGAATTCCTTGATGGTTCCCGAGACCTTAAACTATCATCCCTTGGAGATAGTTTGCTGACTTTGGGAGAAGGGCGGAAGAGGCAACATCAAGGTACAGATAGAGGGGTTCTGTTGCGAAAAGCAACATGATTTCTCACCTAAACCAGCCTTCAGGAGAATTGGTCTTGGGCTCCTCACCCACCTTGGGGGAAGGATACAGCACAACTATGAAGGGAGGATCCACCAGATTACTTACGAAAGTCTCTTCCGACTTCCATGAAAGAAACTTAATTGCTGAACGGAAGAACAGTATCTGCATTATGATGATCTTGTAGCCTAAATAAGCCATTAGACACCCAGATCAACCAGCCTCTCCTCTCTCTGCACTCTTTAAACAGTTGGCCGGAACAATGTGTGTGATTCTGAACCCATACAAAATGATGAAACGTTTCTTGCATGTAGTTACTTAGTACTAAACGTCAGATTATCTACCAGCATGAGACGGAAGGTTCTGGGTACAAATGAGTACTATCAGTGTCTGTACCATCACTAGTGTTCTGGACACTAGTGGCTCAGGACCCGTAACACACCTCTGTTGGTACCAAGAGGTTTACTCTCGATTCCACTGTGTTATCAAAGAACTGTCTGACAGGCGGATACTGCAGGATGTACCCAAGGCAGTTTCCTGTCGTGATCACTTGCAGGGAGCAACCATCCTCTTCTATGAACATATCGTCTTCTGAGGGTCAAAATAGACATCTACTCAGTTTCTGACTGGAAATGCAACTGAATCTTTATTTTAGATCAAGTGATGGCCAGTTGTTGAACACAGACTTACATGTTAGTTCGCCAAGAATGTAGCACATATTCTTACAGCCCAAGAACAAGTAGCACTGCCTCTCACTTCACTCAAGATTATCAATACAAAAGATACGTTGCACAAAGAAATCACATTAACGTGATGAATTAATGAGAAAATCAGTAGGAGGTATGAGAAGGATTCGAACCTATGCGCTGACTAATCCAAGTCAAACATTTGCTTGGGACATAGGCTAAAATTTAAGTTCCTTTAACAATAATCAGGAAAAGAAACGGACAAAATCCAGTCACAAGGAAGCCATCCTGAGAGCAGTTTATCAGGTGTTCTAACAACTGCTACGTATATAAACACATGAGCGTGACACATGTGATACAACACTCAGTATGAACCTTGCTCTGTCCTTGAGGAGTTGGGATCGAACTCTCTTAAACTGACAAACAAAGCCGTTATATCTTGAGAGACAGGTGTCACAACGGGGTAATGTCACACGACTGTCACTGATAGTATGAATCTTCTGCAGGACAACCGCTGATAACTGCCTACCAGATGCCATGATAGTGAGAGTTGATAGGGGTGTTCACCGTCCGCGGGAAGCCCTTCATCAAACATGCATAGTCAAGACAGGTGCAGATGGTGGAATTTCTGCATCCAAAATAGAAAAGGCACATGTAGTAGAACAATGAAGGCGTCTGCTTTCGTGCTCAACTAACAAAGAGAAGTTGAACCATTTCCAAAATATGATATTACAAGACAAACTGGAAGATATTACCGGAGAAATATGACGCGACCTTCCAGTTCCGGCCTTTGAGAATGTCCACGGAATATGCTGAGGAGGTTTGTGTTAAAACCACCCGAGGACACAGACACTAGACTCGTGATACAGTCAGTGATATTGACAATGAAGGTCACTCGTGTCCCCATCTTGTATCTGACTTTTACAAAAAAATTAATGTTAATATAAAAAAGTACAAACAACAAAACTTGCCTGATCGATGTAACCTAAACAGATGCACTGGGAAATGACGTCAGTAATTACTTGTGAGGTTTGTATACATTCAGTGGATGTGATTCACGCCATAATGTTGATTCACCAATATCAACATGCCTTTAGCGTAGGAGACAAGGTTGTCGTTGTAACCAAGGCTGTCGTTGTCACCAAGGTTGTCGTTGTCACCAAGGCTGTCGTTGTCACCAAGGCTGTCGTTGTAACCAAGGCTGTCGTTGTCACCAAGGCTGTCGTTGTCACCAAGGCTGTCGTTGTCACCAAGGCTGTCGTTGTCACCAAGGCTGTCGTTGTCATCAAGGCTGTCGTTGTAACCAAGACTGTCGTTGTCATCAAGGCTGTCGTTGTAACCAAGGCTGTCGTTGTCATCAAGGCTGTCGTTGTAACCAAGGCTGTCGTTGTCATCAAGGCTGTCGTTGTCATCAAGGCTGTCGTTGTAACCAAGACTGTCGTTGTCATCAAGGCTGTCGTTGTCACCAAGGCTGTCGTTGTCACCAAGGCTGTCGTTGTAACCAAGGCTGTCGTTGTAACCAAGGTTGTCGTTGTAACCAAGGCTGTCGATGTAACCTACGCTGTTGTTGTCACCAAGACTGTCGTTGTAGCCAAGGTTGTCGTTGTAACCAAGGTTGTCGTTGTAACCAAGGCTGTCGTTGTAACCAAGGTTGTCGTTGTAACCAAGGCTGTCGTTGTAACCTACGCTGTTGTTGTCACCAAGACTGTCGTTGTAGCCAAGACTGTCGTTGTAACAGGACCACTTGCCAGTATACTGAAATCCGAACACTTGACGGCAACCTGCCATATAGAGAGGTAGTGTGGCAACGGGCCATATATAGAGAGGCAGTGTGACAACGGGTCATATACAGAGGCAGTGTGACAACGGGTCATACAGAGAGGTAGTGTGACAACGGGTCATATAGAGGCAGTGTGACAACGGGTCATACAGAGAGGCAGTGTGACAACGGGTCATATACAGAGGCAGTGTGACAACGGGTCATACAGAGAGGCAGTGTGACAGCGGGTCATACAGAGAGGCAGTGTGACAACGGGTCATATACAGAGGCAGTGTGACAACGGGTCATACAGAGAGGCAGTGTGACAACGGGTCATATACAGAGGCAGTGTGACAACGGGCCATACAGAGAGGCAGTGTGGCAACGGGCCATATAGAGAGGCAGTGTGACAACGGGTCATATATAGAGAGGCAGAGTGGCAACGGGTCATACAGAGAGGCAGTGTGGCAACGGGCCATATAGAGAGGCAGTGTGACAACGGGTCATACAGAGAGGCAGTGTGGCAACGGGTCATATATAGAGGCAGTGTGACAACGAGTTATACAGAGAGGCAGTGTGACAACCTGTCATATAGAGAGGCAGTGTGGCAACCTGCCATATAGAGAGGCAGTGTGGCAACGGGTCATATATAGAGAGGCAGTGTGACAACAGGTCATATAGAGAGGCAGTGTGACAACGGGTCATACAGAAAGGCAGTGTGACAACCTGCCATATAGAGAGGCAGTGTGGCAAAGGGTCATATATAGAGAGGCAGTGGGGCAACGGGTCATATATAGAGAGGCAGTTGGGCAACGGGTCATATATAGAGAGGCAGTGGGGCAATGGGTCATATATAGAGAGACAGTGGGGCAACGGGTCATATATAGAGAGGCAGTGGGGCAACGGGTCATAAATAGAGAGGCAGTGGGGCAATGGGTCATATATAGAGAAGCAGTGTGGCAACGGATCATACAGAGAAGCAGTGTGGCAACGGATCATACAGAGAAGCAGTGTGGCAACGGGTCATATAAAGAGGCAGTGTGACAACGGGTCATACAGAGAGGCAGTGTGACAACGGGTCATATAAAGAGGCAGTGAGACAACTGTCCCAGAACTGCCTCTATTAACTCACCAGTAAGACAAGAGATACAACTGGAACAATTAGATACTTCGATATTCAATGGATATCCCGATCTTCTGTACTTCAGGTCATCTTGGAATGTTTATCTACCAAATACGTTACTCCCAATGCCCCACCTATCACCATCTGTCAATGCCCCAGCCATCAGCAACTGTCAATGCCCCAGCCATCAGCAACTGTCAATGCCCCAGCCATCAGCAACTGTCAATGCCCCAGCCATCAGTATCTGTCAATGTCCCTGCTACCAGCATGTGTCAACACCCCCCAACTACCAGCATCTGTCAACACCCCAGCTACCAACATCTGTCATCACCCCAGCTACCAACATCTGTCATCACCCCAGCTACCAGCATCTGTCAACACCCCAGCTACCAACAAATCTTCTGCCAATGCACCAGTTATCATCTTCTGCCAATGCCCCAGCTACAAGCATCTCTCATCACCCCAGCTACCAACATCTGTCATCACCCCAGCTACCAGCATCTGTCATCACCCCAGCTACCAACATCTGTCATCACCCCAGCTACCAACATCTGTCATCACCCCAGCTACCAACATCTGTCATCACCCCAGCTACCAACATCTGTCATCACCCCAGCTACCAACATCTGTCATCACCCCAGCTACCAGCATCTGTCAACACCCCAGCTACCAACATCTGTCATCACCCCAGCTACCAACATCTGTCATCACCCCAGCTACCAGCATCTGTCATCACCCCAGCTACCAGCATCTGTCATCACCCCAGCTACCAACATCTGTCATCACCCCAGCTACCAACATCTGTCATCACCCCAGCTACCAACATCTGTCATCACCCCAGCTACCAACATCTGTCATCACCCCAGCTACCAACATCTGTCATCACCCCAGCTACCAACATCTGTCATCACCCCAGCTACCAGCATCTGTCATCACCCCAGCTACCAACATCTGTCATCACCCCAGCTACCAACATCTGTCATCACCTCAGCTACCAACATCTGTCATCACCCCAGCTACCAACATCTGTCATCACCCCAGCTACCAGCATCTGTCATCACCCCAGCTACCAACATCTGTCATCACCCCAGCTACCAGCATCTGTCATCACCCCAGCTACCAACATCTGTCATCACCCCAGCTACCAACATGTGTCAACGCCCCAGCTACCAACATGTGTCAACACCCCAGCTACCAACATGTGTCAACACCCCAGCTACCAGCATCTGTCATCACCCCAGCTACCAGCATCTGTCATCACCCCAGCTACCAACATCTGTCATCACCCCAGCTACCAACATCTGTCATCACCCCAGCTACCAGCATCTGTCATCACCCCAGCTACCAACATCTGTCATCACCCCAGCTACCAGCATCTGTCATCACCCCAGCTACCAGCATCTGTCATCACCCCAGCTACCAGCATCTGTCATCACCCCAGCTACCAGCATCTGTCATCACCCCAGCTACCAACATCTGTCATCACCCCAGCTACCAGCATCTGTCATCACCCCAGCTACCAACATCTGTCATCACCCCAGCTACCAGCATCTGTCATCACCCCAGCTACCAACATCTGTCATCACCCCAGCTACCAACATCTGTCATCACCCCAGCTACCAACATTTGTCATCACCCCAGCTACCAACATCTGTCATCACCCCAGCTACCAGCATCTGTCATCACCCCAGCTACCAGCATCTGTCATCACCCCAGCTACCAGCATCTGTCAACACCCCCAGCTACCAACATGTGTCAACGCCCCAGCTACCAACATGTGTCAACGCCCCAGCTACCAACATGTGTCAACACCCCAGCTACCAACATGTGTCAACGCCCCAGCTACCAACATGTGTCATCGCCCCAACTACCAACATGTGTCAACGCCCCAGCTACCAACATGTGTCAACGCCCCAGCTACCAACATGTGTCAACACCCCAGCTACCAACATGTGTCAACACCCCAGCTACCAACATGTGTCAACGCCCCAGCTACCAACATGTGTCAACGCCCCAGCTACCAACATGTGTCAACGCCCCAGCTACCAACATGTGTCAACGCCCCAGCTACCAACATGTGTCAACGCCCCAGCTACCAACATGTGTCAACACCCTACAGCAACTGGTATCTCTTAACGTCTGATCATTAGACATGGAGATGCAAGTCTCATCATAACCACACACTGAGACCTTGTCAAAACACTCTGAAGAGTGCGAAAGACTTGGTGTAAATTCCTTTCATAAATTTCACAAATGCACTAATGTGGGTTTCTGTCCCATGTTATTATGTCTGTGAGAAGACATTATCATTACTAATCAATATCTTTCAAAACACTCCAGCTATCAGTATCTGTCAACGCCCCAACTACTAATACCTCTCAACACCCTTGCAACCAATATCTCTCAACGACTATTTATATTCTCCTATTTATATGATCCTCCAGAGGAAGGCTGGGAACTCCCACATCTTTTTCTCTAGTCGTTAAAGGGAGGTATTTTTCCTTGATTGAAGATCGTCCATTTGGTCTCTAGCACCTGTAACCATTTTCATCCCCATATACTTTCCTATGTTAAACTATAGTAACCATTTCTCGGAAACAACTCTATCAGAGTCATCTTTGGAGTGTATCACAAATTCATCTGTCTTGTTTGTTCTTACTAGTTCTGGGTCATCTGCAAACCTCAATATCCCGTGGCTAGTCATTAGCATATTTGATAAATAGTCTAGGCCCAAGCATTGGTTCCTGAGGTATTCTGTTTGTTACAATCTCTTGCTTCTCACTGTTACTCTCTGATGCTCGTCTGGCAGGTACTCTCTCATCAGTGTCTGTGTTCTTGTTGCTTGTTGGGATATAGCTTTGGCGCTTTAGTTCCGCCTTTCAACTGTCAATTAATCGGTGCATCTCAAACTGTGTATGGAGTCTACCTCCACCACATCACTGCCTAAGGCATTCCATCTTTTAACTACTCTGACACTGAAAAAGTTCTTTCTAACGTCCCAATGGCTCATTTGGGTACTCAGTGTCCACCTGTGTCTCCTTGTTCGCGTACCACCCGTGAAGGTAGTATGTGTGTATGTAATTACCTAAGTTTAGTTACAAGATTAGAGCTACGCTCGAGTTGTCCTGTCTTTCCAGAACTCTTTGTCATATAACCCTTTGAAACTCCTGACGGTTTTGGCCTCCACCACCTTCTCAATAAACTTTTCCAACCGTCTACCATTCTGTTTGCATAAAAAAACGGTCTGATATTTTGTTCTGCACTTTGTTTACTTAGTTAGATTCCAGCTCATCCTCTTGTTTAGTTAGTAATTATAGTAACGATGAGGACCATAGAACATATGTGACGTAATGGGCAATTAGAAAATTGAATTCATTAATATTAATTTTGGACAAACAGGAAAAGGTTTTGCATATGTGTTGCAAAGACAACCTAAACTAACTTAATCTAACCTTTCTGGGCATAATACACGCTGTCTGAGGGCTAACATAGTACATATATGTGTGCAATACTAGGCCTAGAAATATTAAATATTGCTGTTTACCTTTATTTTTTCAGACTCTATAAAGTGAATAGTACCAAATTCTACTATCTAATTGCCTTTTACGTCAATGTTTATACTACTGTGCACAAAGTTACAAAACGAACTATCTAAACAGGAGGATGGGCTAAATGTTGAACCTGTGACCCCATGTTCGTGAAGTTGCTGGTTTCAGGAATTCCTTCTTGTCAATTTGGTCGATTCCTGTTATTATTTTGTAAGTGATTATCATATCACTTCTTTTTCTTCTACCTTCTAGTTTTGGTATATATAATGCCCCTTATCTCTCCTCGTAACTCATTTTGTAGCATGCCTTTGCACCTTTTCCAGTTTATTGATGTACTTCTTGAGATATTGGTACCAGA